TGTGCGAAGTTGAATGTGTGTGTTCAAATCAGTGTTGCCAACTCCTCAGTAAGGAAAGTAGCTATTGGCTCACCTAATTTGCATAATTGGCCATGTGCATGTAATTGTGATGGATGCTGTAGGAGAGAGGAATAACGTATTGGGAGAGACAAAAAGTGAGTAAAAAACACCCTACATTTACATCCCGCCCTGAATGTAAGCCAGGGCGGGATCAGCCAGCGGCGGCTTCCCGCATGCGCGATTCATTTGCAGTCTGGACGCAGAGGGGTGAACATCTCCTGCTCTGACTGCAGCATGAGGACTGGGCCGCCTGTGAGTGGTTTGGGACGGGGTGGGGCCCAAGGCAGCACCCGCTGCTCATTGAGAAGAGTAAGAACGATACGTGCTTTCACGTCAGAGTCTCCAAAAGTCTCCAATAACACCAGAAAAAGTCGCTAGATTTGTCGCTAGTCGCTTTTTTGAAAATGTGTCACTAGAGGGGTCTGAAAACTCGCTAAATATAGCGACAAAGTCGCTAAGTTGGCAATACTGGTTCAAATGATGCTACATTTGCTAATAGACAACATACACTATATATACAAAAGTATGTGGACACCCCTTCAAATTAGTGGATTTGGCTATTTCAGGCACACCCCTGTTGCTGACAGGTGTATAAAATCGAGCACATTGGCAGTAGAATGGCCTTACTGAAGTGCTCAGTGACTTTCAATGTGGCACTGTCATAGGATGCCACCTTTCCAACAAGTCAGTTCGTCAATTTCTGCGTTGCTAGAGCTGCCCCGGTCAACTGTAAGTGCTGTTATTGTGAAGTGGAAACATTTAGGAGTTACAACAGCTCAGCCGCGAAGTGGTAGGCCACACAAGCTCACAGAACGGGACTGCTGAAGCGCATAGCACGTAAAAATCCTGTCCTCGGTTGCAACATTCCAAACTGCCTCTGGAAGCAACGAATAACTGTTTGTCGAAAGCTTCATGAAATGGGTTTCCATGGCCGAGCAGCCGCACACAAGCCTAAGTTTACCATGTGCAATGCCAAGCGTCGGCTGGAGTGGTGTAAAGCTCACCGCCATTGGACTCTGGAGCAGTGGAAACTTGTTCTTTGGAGTGATGAATCACGCTTCACCATCTGGCAGTCCGACGGACAGATCTGAGTTTGGCGGATGCCAGGAGAACGCTACCTGCCCCAAATGCATAGTGCCAACTGTACATTTTGGTGGAGGAGGAATAATGGTCTGGGGCTGTTTTTCATGGTTTGGGCTAGGCCCCTTAGTTCAAGTGAAGGGAAATCTTAATGCTACAGCATACAATGACATTCTAGACAATTCTGTGCTTCCAACTTTGTGGCAACAGTTTGGGGAAGGGCCTTTCCTGTTTCAGCATGACAATGCCCCCGTGCACAAAGCGAGGTCCATACAGAAATGGTTTGTCGAGATCTGTGTGGAAGAACTTGACTGGCCTGCACAGAGTCCTGACCTCAACCCCATCGAACACCTTTGGGATGAATTGGAACGCTGATTGCGAGCCAGGCCTAATCACCAAACATCAGTGCCCGACCTCACTAATGCTTGTGGCTGAATGGAAGCAAGTCCCCCAGCAATGTTCCAACATCTAGTGGAAAGCCTTCCCAGAAGTGTAGAGGCTGTTATAGCAGCAAAGGGGGGACCAACTCCATATTAATGCCCATGAATTTGGAATGAGATGTTCGACGAGCAGGTGTCCACATACTTTTGATCATGTAGTGTAGTTACACACTATGGCTGTTCTCTAGTCTTGTGGTAACCATTACAATACACCACAGTGTAGGTCTGGTGCCCATGTTATTGAGACAGTTAACATAATGATAAACCTACAATCATAATGTATGAGAATTCTAATGCTAACTCCAACCATCTCAACACTGAGGCAGTTCCCCCGTCAGTACAGACAGTATGTTTTTCAATGCAATATTATTTCAAAGCAATGTCCTTCTCCTGTCTCATTGACTCAGTGTAATGGAGGCAAAAGACAAATTACAGACATATCAACAATAGCATCATAATGTGGGGATGAGGTGGGGGGTCCGGTATGTTATCTGTACATCTCTAACGTTAATCCTGAACCCTAATACGTTAACTGTTATTGTCAACTTTATACATTATACAGTTGTTGCATTCTGTGAAAAGAAAAACAAATGGATTAATTCAATTATGATTCAATTCTAATGTTTACGACTAGGATGTCCCCTATGAAAGATGAGTTTTCTTAAAAAAATACGGATGATACATCTCTTCACATCTGACCCAGGACAAGTGGCCAGTACACTTCTGTAACAGGCTTGTCAGTCTTACGACATGTTATGACATCTGCTTTGAGCAAAGAGTCCCCATTATTATACCAGTAATATGCAACCAGCTCCTTGAGTCTAGGACCTAGACCTTTCAGTTACACTTCACTAGTACCTTATTGAAACGATGCACAATGTTTAGAATATCATAGGTAGATCTGTCATGTACATAATGGACAAGATCCTCTACTGTGTGGAATAGACACCAATGACCACTTTCAATCATTACATTTCTATCTGAAACAATCAGATATAATGTGACCTATAGGATATTATAGAATTAAGCACACAGATGAGGATAGTATATAGGATTGGGCACATGGGGATAGGATTGTGCACATATTGTTTGCTGTGGCAGGAATGGGACACCCTGTGTAGGTTGAGCCTTGGCCAACCTCTCAATGATCACAATAGTAAGAGAGAAGAATCCTGGAGCACTCCCAATGTGGTGCTCCTGAGTTAGTGATCACAAAGGTTGAAAACCAAAAACACTTTCTGCTAGCCAGTCTGAGTATGTAGGTGTACTCATCTAGCCTGGGTGCCAGCGTACTCCTCGAGCATGTGTATCAGACAGTGCGTTTCTGCTTTAGACCAATATTACCTAAGAACAACGACAAAGGAGTTGGCTATAGCAGAAACAGCCAGACACCCAGGCTAGATGAGTCCACCTGCACACTGAACTGAGAATAGAGACGGGGCCATTTATAAAACACGTATTATAGTTGAACATAAGCAATAGGCAAAGTTAAGGTCAACAACGACCTGGTTAGTTACCACCCCACCCGCCATTCCCCATTCCATCCAACAAGTCCCCAGGTAGCCTTCAAACCTCCCAACCCAGCCCCTCACAACTACCCAATCCAACCCAACCCCTAGATCAGGGCTGTCGAGTCGTGTGGCTCCAGGCTTCTGTTTCAACCAAGCAGTAACACACCTGATTCAACTAATAATAGTCTTCCATCAAGACTGAGAGAAGTCCAAACAGTGCTTGGAAGGAATGAAGCCTGGCCACACACTGACCCTCAGTGTGGATACGACTGGACACTGCTGACATCTAGATAGAAAACCATCCATCAAACAAGAGGTGTCTTTTCTCTATTTCTACAGCATATAAGCTCAACAAAGCCCTACACAACTTCACTTCTGTATCATGCCACAAGGTACCAAAGGATGCTTGGAGAATCACAAACACTTTCCTAAAACGGAGAGGAGGAAGAGGAGGAGAAAGAGGACGAAGAGGAAGAGGAGGAGGGCTAAAGGAGTGTCTTGGTGCACTCTGGTGCATGATGATGTGAGTTTGTTTAGTGACAGACAGCTCCTGGTATGACAGTAGTTAATCTCTGTGGTTCTCTCCTCTAGAGCAACAACAGTATGTTGTTTCATGTTGCGTTAGGGTTGTCACTGAGGACGACAAACTACTATAGCTCTAGTAGTCTGGTTCGCTTCCATTTGGGTCAGTGGGGTCTGAAAACATAAGATGGGTTCTCTCTCACACATGCACACTGATCAGAGCCCCCCCCCCCACTCTCTCCCTTTGTGAAAACAACAAGTAGCAAGCCTCAATGAGTCACTGAGCAGAGAGGAGAAAAAATACAGAAAATAAAGGATGTTCAGTCCACCTTCAACACCCCCTTCACCTCTGGTGTTAAGTGGTGTGGTAAGTTGTCTCTTGGTTGGTGCGCTGGTGCTCCTGACTACAGGGTAAAAGTCTTGTTTACAAAACAGGTTCTATGACAACCAGGGTGTGGTGGGTGGATAGGATATACTGGCCTCTGGGGTGAGGCCTGACAGAGAGGTCAACGGCAGCCATATTGGATAGGTCTGGATGAAACCCACTAACTGATCCTTGGGAAGGAGTGATCATGTGGTGGTCCTGATGGCAGCTTCCAACCCCCAAAATTGAGAAAGTCAACAAGTGAAATTGGATCTCAAAGTGCGATTCCTTACTGTGGTAATGACTCTAGAAACAGTGGGCCGTGCACTAGAGCCAGAGAGCTTCTCTGAGAGCAAGGGGAGTGGAAAAAGATGTGCCTGTAAAAAGTGTTTCACACACGAAATCAAATATAGAACAATTCTGAGAATTAAAAATCAAAACTAGTGCGGGGAGTGGCTGGGGTTACTGAGTGTAAACATTCCATCCCTGTCTCTGTCATGACAATGACTGTCTGACAGTCTTGTCTTCCAATGGTGTACTGCTCTCAAAGGTAACCTAATGTAGCAGGCGTAAAAAGATGCCTGAGCTGAGTCCCCACATCTGTTTTTAAGGGGAAACAGAAGTTAGGTTGAAACTACTGTATCGCTGAAAACCGGAAACATCCACATTCTGCCTACCCTGCAGATAGTGGGTCAACGGTCAATCAGAATACGACCCAGACCACAGGAGAGGGAATCTAGGATCCTGAGAATGCTGCACTCCTTTCTGGGTAAGAGGGGAGAATAATGTGGGTGTGGAGGTGTTGGTGGAGGGGGCTATGACTGAGTAATAAATAATATCTAGACGAGGGTGACATTTTGACATTTCACACCGCCGCTTCTCATTCATATAATCCATACAAATCCACGTTTGTTTAGTAATAAAAAAAATGGCCTTGTTTAAATATGTATATAATAGTCTGTTTCTGCTCTTTAGGACATGATAGTCTATGTGGGTGAGGGGAGGGGGGTTGTCTCCCCTTCACTACAACTCCATGTCCTGAGCCTCATCCTCAGAGAAGTCTGACATTGAACTCTCAGACGAGGAGTCGCCTCCCTCCTCCTGCTCCTTTAGAGCCTCCTCTGTCGCATACTTCTGGAGATACTCTGGAACAGAGAGAAGGAAAAGAGAAGGGAGTCAGACAGGCAATCTGGTGTGTGTGTGTGTGTGTGTGTGTGTGTGTGTGTGTCTCACCTTTGATCTTGTGTTTGTAGTCCTCTGGCCGGTGCAGGTACATGGCGGCAGCGTCTCCGTTGAGAGGGTCGATGGGGTTGGGGTAGGCCAGCAGCTGGGGCAGGAACGCCTCAAAGATGTTGGTCAGGTCTGCAAGGGGAGGAGGGACGACCAGTGTTTTACATTATGGGGGGTAGAGAGATGATAATGTGCAACCTACTCAAGGCAAACACTCAATGAGCTGTACTAGGGCTGTGGCAGTCATGAGATTTTGTCAGCCGGTTCATGCAAATAACTACCGGTCTCACTGTAATTTACCGTTAATTAACAAACACGTTTAGCATCTCCTGGCTTCCATGCATAGCATACAAGCCACTGATGCAGACCTTTGGAACATCTACATTTAAAAAAGTCTAATAAATCCATTTAATATAGCCTACACCATCACAATAAACCCATTATTTATTTTAGACAGGTCTAAAGAAAATGTATACTATTTCAGCAGAACAGAATAGCATATTCTGAGTTGTCCTTATGTTAGGTCCTAATCTGGCTATGCCATATGGCTGTGGGCTACACTAGTTCATTTAACAAGATTTGCTTAGAATTCCATGGCATTATTTTCTAGTATGAAGAATACAACTGCTGAATAAAATAGAAAGGATATTTTCCCCAATCATTTTCTGAGGGAGTGCGCACATGCGGCTATTCTGTGTTGAGCGGTTAACAAAGAAACAGGTCCTCCTATATGCTTAATTTAGAGTTATTTATGCAACTTTAGTTGTGATACAAATGTTAGGCTATATGTTTAGATTTTTATACATTCTAAGGCTGCATGATGCGACTAATGATCATTTGAAAAAGGTCGCATGAAAGGCATGAGCTCTGATTTGTTGCTTGTACAGGCTGCACACACTTTATCAGTCTCTCATTCACAATTTAACAAGCACTTGATAATATTCTCACCCATCAGACTATTCTTAATTTAATCTGGTCTTTACATAGAGCCTACTAATATACTGTATGTGTGGAATTGTTTTTTATTTGTGGATTGTTTTAAATCACTTTGCCTACAGTCGGAAGGAAAGGCAGCATGCACAATTTGGACAGATTATTGTTGAGTTGTGACTGTCTGTGAAAAGTAGAGGCCAAGCCAGGCATATTGCAATATGTCAAAATACAATCACGGGAAAACATAGTTTGGAAAGGAAATTATTATTGCTGTAAAGAGAAGACAATGAAAAGACAAATCTGTCTTTTAGTTATCGAAATTCTCAACTTAATTAAGCGAACAACAGTATAGTCTATCTTATTGGCGCCAGCGGACAGCATCAGCAATATCTCCAATATCCCCCGTGAGTGCGCACTGCACATATTCACTAGTTATCATTGAGTGCTACTTAAAAGTTTGTTTTTGGACAATCATTTCCTCCTCCAGTTTAGATGAACATCATATTCTATTTGTGTCCACTTCTTGTAGGTCTATTATATGGACAAGGTCGTTTTTATTGATCTGTTTGTCAGTGTCAGCAGAGTAGGCTACCCTGTGATTCTGCTCATGTCTACAGTCATATAAAGTGTAGTAGAATTGCATGAAATGTGTTTTTATAAAAGGCCACATTTTTCCCATGCAAAGAAATAAAAATAAAAAACTTCTGATATAGTCTATAGCCTAGGCATGCTCTACGCTATATACGTTCAGCCATGCATTGAACAGTATTTCTTTGCAAACTGATTAATTTATATTACTAGCCTAAATGATGACTATCCAATCTGCTCATCACATTAAAGAGTAGGCTATCTTATCTTAGTCTGCAAATGCAATGATGCATGGAATGCTTTATTATAAAGGTGCATTTTTATGGTAAATATTTGCTTCCCCAAACTTGAAACTCACGCGCAGCCTATGTATGCCAGGTAGGCCATTGGTTGTAATGTGCTTAATTTTAAGAATTGAGCAATAAATATAGCAGCACGAGAAAGCTGGGATCCTCTTTTAAATAGTGGCCAGTCAAAACTCTGTTTTCACACACGATTGTGCAATGACTGGGCTTATAAGAACATGTTTCACTAGGCTGTCTGTAGGCTATCCAACCCTGTTCCAGGGGTCCTAGGCTATAGGCTACGTTTTGAGTTTTTTGGCCAATTTAGTTGTGACACAAACCTTAACAAAACATAAAGGCCTACAGGCTATTCATGATGTGTGCGACTATGATTTGAAAAGTTGCAACATCAAAAAAAGGCATGCGCTGTTTATTGCCTTAAGACTGCACATGCTGGGCATCATTCACAAGTGATAATATTGTCACCCATCAGACTATTCTCAATTTAATCTCATCTTTACATATACTAAATAATATGTGTGAAATTAGTTTTGATTTAAAATGGACCATTATCATGCACCTGTTGGAACAGGGGAAGGGGGAAAAAATACGTGTCATCTGTATGCACTTAAATAGCGAATGGAGGACGCTTTTCCTGCAGTTCTTTTTCTTGCCAGCCAGGTAGGCTACTCCTGTTGTAAAGCTAAGCAATGTGCTTAATATTAGGAAAGTTAAGAAATAAATATAGTATGCCTAGCCTACACTACCGGTGAAAAGTTTTAGAATACCTACACATTCAAGGGTTTTTCTAGATTTTTACTATTTTCTACATTGTAGAATAATAGTGAAGACATCAAAACTATGAAATAACACATGTAGTAACCAAAAAACTGTTAAACAAATCAAAAAATATTTTATATTTCAGATCCTTCAAATAGCCACTCTTTGCCTTGATGACAGCTTTGCACACTCTTGGCATTCTCTCAACCAGCTTCATGAGGTAGTCACCTGGAATGCATTTCAATTAACAGGTGTACCTTCTTAAAAGTTAATTTGTGTAATTTCTTTCCTTCTTAATGCGTTTGAGCCAATCAGTTGTGTTGTGACAAGGTAGCCCTATTTGGTAAAAGACCAAGTCCATATTATGGCAAGAACAGCTCAAATAAGCAAAGAGAAATGACAGTCCATCATTACTTTAAGACATGAAGGTCAGTAAATATGGAAAATGTCAAGAACTTTGAAAGCTTCTTCAAGTGCAGTTGCAAAAACCATCAAGAGCTATGATGAAACTGGCTCTCATGAGGACCAACACAGGAATGGAAGACCCAGAGTTACCTCTGCTGCAGAGGATAAGTTCATTAGAGTTACCAGCCTCAGAAATTGCAGCCCAAATAAATGCTTCACAAAGTTCAAGTAACAGACAAATCTCAACATCAACTGTTCAGACGAGACTGTGTGAATCAGGCCTTCATGGTCGAATTGCTGCAAAGAAACCACTACTTAAGGACACCAATAAGAAGAAGAGACTTGCTTGGTCCAACAAACACGAGCAATGGACATTAGACCGGTGGAAATGTGTCCTTTGGTCTGGAGTACAAATTGGAGATTTTTGATTCCAACTGCCGTGTCTTTGTGAGATGCGGTGTGGGTGAACGGATGATCTCCGCATGTCTATTTCCCACCGTAAAGCATGGAGGAGGAGGTGTTATGGTGGGGGGGTGCTTTGCTGGTGAGACTGTCTGTGATTTATTTAGAATTCAAGGCACACTTAACCAGCATGGCTACCACAGCATTCTGCAGCGATACGCCATCCCATCTGGTTTGGACTTAGTGGGACTATCATTTATTTTTCAACAGGACAATGACCCAACACACCTCCAGGCTGTGTAAGGACTATTATACCAAGAAGGAGAGTGATTGTGTGCTGCATCAGATGACCTGGCCTCCACAATCCCCCGACCTCAACCAAATTGAGATGGTTTGGGATGAGTCGGACTGCAGAGTGAAGGAAAAGCAGCCAACAAGTGCTCAGCATATGTGGGAACTCCTTCAAGACTGTTGGAAAAGCATTCCAGGTGAAGCTGGTTGAGAGAATGCCAAGAGTGTGCAAAGTTGTCATCAAGGCAAAGGGTGGCTATTTGAAGAATCTCAACTATAAAATATATTTTGATTTGTTTAACACTTTTTTGGTTACTACATGATTCCATATATGTTATTTCATAGTTTTGATGTCTTCACTATTATCCTACAATGTAGAAACTAATAAAAAATAAAGAAAAACCCTTGAATGAGTTGGTGTTCTAAAACTTTTGACCGGCAGTGTATATAAAGCTGATGCAATCCTCCTTTTTAAAAGGCCATCAAAACTCAATTTTCTCATGCAATTGCATAGCCTATAGAAATATTGTGCAACGTGAGCCCATGGGCTCTCATGACGTGTATAATTAGATTTTGGATTGCATTTGCATTGATGTCAGAGTGATTATAGGGACAATAGAGTGCTGAGTACTAGGCTGAGTACTAGGCCATTAGCGACTGGCAGTTAGCAAGTCTGGTAGGCTACTAAAGACCATCAGCGGCATCAGAGCACAGTTTTGGAGAAGCCTCGTTACTGTGACTAAAGGTCACATGGAATTTGACTGCGGTCATGACTCATGACCGCCACACCAGTGGTCACACAGGAACTACAATAAAAAAAACGCCACATCACAAGTATTTCATTGGAGGTTAGTAGGTCTTGCAGGTTTGCATTTCATATCCAGTTCTGCCATGATGATAAACGACCACTAGAGGTCTCTGTTCTGCTATCACCTTCAATACAACAGCCTATCTATCTGAAGCAGTGAATTGGCCAACAACTCAAACCAGAAAGGGTGCCCTGTTCCCATCACGTTGAAACCCATTGACCCTGCTTAAAAAACCCATATTATGCCATGTCTGGTATGTCCCAAAGACAGTGTTCATAATTGTCAAAACAGAGTACAAATCACAGCAGAAAGGTCAATTTCTAGTACAGGTTTTAATGATAGGAACTTCTCTATGGCAATTAGGGCTGACCCCAATTAGTTGATTGTTTGGTCGATCAAGATTTGTTTTAGTTGAGCAGTAGCATAATGTAAAAAAATATATAGATATACACACAAAATATATGTATATATATATATATACACAGTGAGGGAAAAAAGTATTTGATCCCCTGCTGATTTTATAAGTTTGCCCACTGACAAAGAAATGATCAGTCTATAATTTTAATGGTAGGTTTATTTGAACAGTGAGAGACAGAATAACAACAAAAAAATCCAGAAAAACGCATGTCAAAAATGTT